AAAAAAAAAAAAAAAAAGATCCACTATCCTATTTTGCACATGAAGAACACATATCTGGCAATAACAAACACTGAGGCCCCTGACAGGGCCCTGACCAGATAAGCGAAGAGGGAGTGTGATAACCCCAAGCCACCATGATACCAGGCAGAGAGGAGGGAAGGCTGAGAGGGTAAGACATTGCCCTGTGGGTCCTTGGTGCCCACAAGAGGATGAGGTCAGGGCAGTCCCTTGAAGGTAGGCTGCCCTTGGGACCAGAGAGAAAGTGGGACCCCAGAGTCTTGCCCCAGCTTTCTGTACCAAGTGGTAGCTGGGACAGGCTAGGACATGGCCACAAGCCCTAAAACAGGGCAATCGGGGACACTTGTGCAGTCCCTTATGCTTCCTTGATGCCCCATGCTGGGCCGGCATAGGTGAGGGTAGAACCAGTCCTACCTGGGTCTGCAAGGGATCAGCAGGTGAATGGTGACCAGTAGTAGCAGTTGCAGCTTAAATTCAAGGGTAGAGGGAGGCCAGGTCTGGTTGTTACAGCCTCAGAGGAAGTGATAAATTGTAAATTTTCATGGAGACATGGGGGCAGAAAGAAGAGCACCAGCAAAAATAAAGGCATGCTAGGGCAAGGAGCCAATAAGGGGACCCAGCAGGCAATGTGCACACCCCCCATGGCACCCAGGCCTTGCTGCCTGTGGACAGGAACGCAGACTCCAGCAAAACCACCAAGGGCATTTTTTGGATCATGATTCAGGGCTATCATTCCTGAAAATACAGTGGTCAAAGGAGAGGAAGGAAACTCCAAGGTTAAAGAAGGCCATGCTAAGGCTACCTTGGCTCTGGAAGACGGGGCGGTCCTTCACAGCTAGACTCGTAGTAAGGAGGTGGGGCTATGGGGGTGGGGTTGTCTGGGGTTGGACAACAGTACGCAGGGAGCCATTGAGCATTCATATTACAGGTAAGGAAATGAGAAGATATGGTTATCCTCCACTGCACAAAAAGCCAACTCTAACAATAATCGGGTCTTTAGAACCTAACCATAGCACAAAATGAGAGGTAGATATAAATTTATTAGTACAAACATTGATGTTTATACAAGAGTAAACCAAAAAGATTTGCTCCCAAATCAGACAAACCTGTATCAAACAAAAAGTATCAAAATGTGAAGTTGCTTTCTCGCCATCTAGGTCTATACACTTCTGAAGATGTCTTATCCATCTCTCTAACCTTTCCCTAACCTGTTGGGAGCTGCTCTGAAAGCAGAGGTCTGTTCGTTCAAATGTGGATGTGCAGACACAACTCTCTCACGGACCTGGATGTGTAGATTGTCTCTCTCACGGTCAGATTGTCTCTCTAATGGTCAGATTGACTTTTGTGCCTTAATGTTATTGAGAACATCAGGTGCTTAGCCTTGGGGAAAATATTTGCCAGACAAACAAGAACAAGGATGGGGGGCGCTGTTTTGAGCAATAGTACATTCCCGCTTAACAGTGTATAAAAGTTTGCTGGAAAATAAACTCGGGGCTGCAGTCTTGAATTGCACTCCTCCTGACCCCAGCTTTTTTGTGTCTTTTCTCAGTCCTCACCCCCTCAATCGAGTCCCTGTTGCTTTGCCAGCGGGCTCTGGCACTACCCCTTCCACCACATCAAAATGGAAGCGTTGGCATCCTCGAGGGACTCAAATTGTGTTCCTCTAAACGCGGAGTCTGGGAAACAAACTGAAGTCCAAAGGGGAAGTATCAGGGCTGCTTGAGGTAAGTATCAGGCTAGATGAGGTAAGATTTCCCAAAGAAATTCTCTAAGGACAACCCTTGTTACCCTCAAGATATTTTTATGATGGGAAACAAATCCTTGGACCCAACTTTCCTGTCATTTTTCACACCAACGCAGTTCTTTTGTTTTTCTTAAAACTTCTTTATTGTAAGCCCTGTGATCATCCTGAGACCTTTGAGAAAAACCTATCAAGATTACTCCTTGGAATCCCCAAAAATAATCATCATAACTTTTTGAGCTGACCTTTCTTCCTTAAATTTAATTGACCCAGTACATCACCTTGAAAGTCAGTGTTTTGACAGGACTTTACTCTTTGGATCATATGGTGAATCTGGCTCTTTGGATTTGTGCCTGGTCATGATTCAGTCCATAAAAATCTTTCATAGATTTGATTTTTCTTAAAAGTTTAATTTAAAAAGTCAGCTCTTCAAGCTAGCTCATCGTCGCACAAAGTTTTGGGTACCTATTAAGTCAAATGCTTGCTAAGGCGAAAACGCTCACTAAGAACTGAAATTGCTGAACCATGTGAAGATCCCAACTTCGGTAGCTAGTGCATCAATGGTGATAGATGGTCTTCTTCTGCCAATTTCTGGACTCCAGTCACAGATTCTTCATTCATCACTGTTGACAGTCTCCCTACCCGTGGCTCATTTCTGAGGTCTTCCTGACCCATTTAAAGCACTTAATCCATCTAAAAACTGGTGTTTTCAGTAGGGCAGCATTCCTATAAACTTGTACCAAGTTTCAATTATTTAGGAATATGTCCCTTTGAATTTTGTTAAAACTATTATTAGCATTGACTGCAAACTAATTTTTGGTGGCACAGAAAATATCCTTTTTATAGGCACCATAACAAAACCAAGGCAAGTATATTACTGTGAGAACTTGTCGTTGGGCACCCACTGATTGCAGAGATATGTTTTATTCAGGAAAAAAAAAACAACTGTCCACACATGAATTATAACCTTAGGGGCAATACTTTTTGACTTGCCCTTGTACAAAATTATATAAGCACAATAAAAATATAGAAACATCCATACTAGGTTTTTAAGTCACAGGGAACCTGCAAGAAAAACATTAAAAAAAAGAGTGCCTAACAAAATGGGAAAAGAAAAAAGGCCTATAATCACAATAAGTTATCAAGTAAAATCATAGGTGTAGGGAATATGTAAAAAGAGAAATTAAATTTCAAAGACGAAAGACAGATTCCATTTTATACTCACATGTGCATCTGAAGATCCAGATGAATGAACATCTGATGACCTTGTCTGCAAGTATTAAAAAGAAAGTCAGTATTTAAATGATCAGAAAGTCTTACTATACTAACAAAGTAAGGTTCTAATATTATATAGTCTTTCCAATCTTGTAAGAATTTCTTCCCAGTTAATAAAATTACACACAGCAATCTGATAAAAGTTCAGGTCAATTCTTTAAAATCCCAAATGCATACACTCCAGAATATGATATACACTAGTAGATTGTAACTAAGACACAGTTATCTTTCCAGGTTAGAGACTGGAAACCTTACTATTGGTTTCAAAATAGAATTTTTGCAGAAAAACTTTTGTCAAGTCATAAGATACACAAGATACTGCCAGGAACAAGCTCTCATTACACTGAAGGGGGAAAAAGTGCTTTTCCTTTCTCCAACCAACCAACAAGCCAATTCTAGCATAAGAAAACCCACACATAAACCCTGGCTACCTAATAAGAAATGAATTCTTCAGAACAAGTAAATCCTATTATCAAATTCCCCAACAGGCTACCAGATAAAATTTGTTGTTTGGGGTTATTTCTGTGCCAGTATGCCATAGGAAGACTGTCCAAATAATGTTACTTTCAAGGAATGTCAAGTGTCAACAATGTGGTCTTATTTTTTTTCCTTACTGGTCTGCATTTCAAATTATGTATGACATAACAGTAATTTGTTTCTTCACTATCCAGCTAAGAAAAAAGCCAAGCTGCAATGCTATTAAGTAAAACATACATAGTTCTCTCTGAAATTTTTATTTAGAGGTCTACAATTAAACATTAGCACTCAGCTTTTTTTTTTAACTTGAAGATACTAGGTAGTGAGAGTTCACTTGTTTTCATTTATATTTGTCTGAAAAGCACAATAAAAAACCTTGGAATCGCAAAGATCTCGCCTGACTCTTAACTCCTAGTTCTAAATTCTAAACAAAATGCCTAAAACGTTAATTTTCAAGAAAATGTTGACTATTCCTATGTTATAGGAAGATTTCATGTGGTCTATACTGTATTGCCTTGTTTTGTCTAAGCATAAGGCTCAGAACAATTTTTCAGATTTTCATGAGTCACTGTATCTCCTCTGAACTTCACTAGATTAGGCCCAAGGCAAACTCCGCCCCAAAAAACTAACTCCCTACCTCATTCTTTCTGCCCATCTTTTTTCCATCTCTATTAACACGTCCCCATCATCTACTAGCTAACCATTTTTGAAAGCTAAAATGGTATAGGAGAAATTGTTCATAATATTTAATTTAACTGTGAAACAACATTTTGAAATGCATCCACTTAGAACTGAAGAGAATTTTTATATTGAGATGACTCCCCATTCCTGATCTGCATTGTGAAGTCACTGCCTCCTGGACACCTGGACCCAAATTCCTCCCAAATTAGCTCTTCATTTTAACCTTCTGATTTCTGGCATTGGGTTGCAACTCTCAATCCCTCCATCTAAAAGTACAATTATAAGAGAACTGGTTGTGGAGTCCGATTTCTTGGGTGTGAACGCAGATTTTAGCATTTACTATCTTTATAACCTTGGGCCTAGCTTCTTCATCTGTACACTGAACGCATCCTGCCTCAGGATTGTGAAGAGCAACATCCAGGAAGCAGCACTTAAGACTGTGCTTAGAATGCAGTCACTGGTCAACACAAGTACAGCCAGCAGCGGCAAGATCATTCTGGACGCTTGCTATGCCTTTATTCCCATAAGCAACTGTAGTCTGATGCCTTCCACCCCCTCTCCCAGCTCTTCCTCAGTGGCCTTTAACCTTTATACCAGTGGTTCTCAACCTGTGGGTCGCGACCCCTTGGGGGAGGTCGCCCGATTCATAACCGTAGCAAAATTACAGTTATGAAGTAGCAACAAAAATAACTATGGTGGGGGGGTGTCACTACACGAGGAACTGTATTAAAGGGTCGCATTAGGAAGGTTGAGAACCACTGCCGTATACAGATAAACCAGTAATTCTTTATTCAGCATTTACTAGGCAACTCTTATTGGCTGGCACTGTACCCGACAATGGAGATACGAAATAAAGGCACCTCTGGTCCTCCTCACTATCTTTGAGTCAACTCACAACAACCCTATATGACAGGATAGAACTGCCCCCTCTGGGTTTCCAAGAATGTAACTCTTTACAGGAGTAAAAAGCCATTTTTTCCACCCATGTAGCAGTTGGTGGTTTTGAACTGCTAACCTTGAGGTTAGCAGCTCAATATGTAACCCACTACACATTAGGGGCTAATCAAAGGGAAGCAAGCAACACAAGGTGGCTTGCCATAAGAACAAAACTTAATGGGTTAGCAAATGTTAGGAAAAGCATTCTCGAGAGGTCCTTACATGAGATTTTTAAGCAATCTTCAATATCTAACTGTACCACTACAATACTCTCCAAACCAGTTCTCGTTTCCAAATCCTTCCTAACCGGTAATTCCAAAATATCTTTTCTTTTTTGTTATTGCTGTTGTTTCTTTTTTTTGTTTTTTAATAGTTTTATTAGGGGCTCATACAACTCTTATCACAATCCATACATACATCAATTGTGTAAAGCGCATTTGTACATCCATTGCCCTCATCATTCTCAAAGCATTTGCTCTCCACTTAAGCCCCTGGCATCAGCTCCTCATTTTTCCCCTCCTTCCCCACTTCCCTCTCCCTCATGAACGCTTGATAATTTATAAATTATTTTGTCATATCTTGCCCTGTCTGACATCTCCCTTCACCACTTTTCTATTGTCCGTCCCCCAGGGAGGAGGTCACTTGTAGATCCTTGTAATCGGTTCCTCCTTTCCAACCCACCCTCCCTCTACGCTCCCAGTATCGCCACTGACACCACTGGTCTGGAAGGGATCATCCGCCCTGGATTCCCTGTGTTTCCAGTTCCTATCTGTACCAGTGTACACCCTCTGGTCTAGCCAGACTTGCAAGGTAGAGTTCGGATCATGATGGGATGGGGGTGAGGGGGTAGGAAGCATTTAGGAACTAGAGGAAAGTTGTACTTTTCACTGTTGCTACATCGCACCCTGACTGGCTCCTTTCATCCCCGAGACCCCTCTACAAGGGGATGTCCAGTGGCCTACAAATGGGCTTTGGGTCTCCACTCTACACTTCCCCCCTCATTCACTATGGTAAGATTCTTTGTTCTGATAACTGATCCCTTCGGCATCTCGTGACCACACAGGCTGGTGTGCTTCTTCCATGTGGGCTTCGTTGCTTGTGAGCTAGATAGCCGCTTGTTTACCTTCAAGCTTTTAAGATCCCAAACGCTGTATCTTTTGAGAGCCGGGCATTCTATGATGCTCACCTTCCCGACACAACCGCTGAAGATAAAGCAGGTGAGTAAGCAAACGTGGTGAAAAAAACAAAATATCTTTTCTTAAAAGACTTTTCTGGCTCCAGTTTTCTTCCACAATTGGCACCCACTTTAACTTTCCAGTCTCATTTTATTCCTCAGAAGCCCTGGTGGCATAGTAGTTCCAGGCTGGGCTTCAATTCTCAGCTGACAGTTCGAAACCACCAGAGGCTCCAAGGGGGAAAGACAGTGCTTTATACTCTTGTTATTAAACTGTCCCAGTCTCAGGAACTCACAAGGCGGTTCTACCCTGCCCTATAGGGTCGCTATGAGTTGGCTTTGACTTCATAGCAGTGAGTTTGAGTTTTCTTTTATTCCTCATTTGTGAATACCCTATGTAATGGCTAAACCAAATCATGTACAAATCCATTTTCCAGAACTTTGCTTCCTCATCTCATATCTATGTCTCATACAGCTGCTACTGAAAGGCTGACAGTTCAACACTCTAGTCTTGCTCTGCAGGAGAAAAGATCTAACAATCAGTGCCCATAAATATTCCAGCTTAAGAAACCTTGTAGGGAGGTAGTTCTACCTTGTCCTATAAGATCCCTGAGTCAAAATGAACTCAATGGCAAACAACTCAAATTCCACTATTCTCTTAAAGCTATTTCTCTGCTCTATTAAAACAATTGTTACTTGTTTCCCTAACTTATAGACCTCTGATTTCTTTTTTGAAATCCAGTTAGAAGGAAATGTAGAGGTTATCTAATTTAATTTCTTTTTATGATCAAGAGATATTACTGTATAAGATTTTGACAACTGTCAATGGCAAAAAAAATTTTATATTTTACATTTTAAATGTCTTCCTTAATGTCTATATACATAACTAATAGATAAGAACTGCTGAAGTAGTAGAATTAACATGAAACAAGCTATCTGTCACTTCATCTGTATTACAGAACACAATTAATCCACTCCTCTAGTCTTCCCAGGTCAAAGAACAGAGATCAAACTGGAATCCTGGTGGCATAGTGAGGATACACATTGTGCTGCTAACCTAACCCTAAGGTCAGCAGTTCAGAATCAGCAGGCACCCTGGGGTGAGGGGGGGATGATGACTTTCTGTACCTGTAAAGAATTACAGGTCTCAGAAACCCACAGGGGCCATTCTACCTTGTCCTATAGGGTTGCTTTGAGTTGGAATACTCTATGGCAGTTTAGTTTGGGTTTAGTATTGTATTATTAGTCATAATGATCTTTAATGTCCTCCAATAAATTCTGGGTTTGTGTTCCAAATAAAGCAATAGTTTAAATGTCATTATGATAGCTGATAAGAGTATTTTTCTCAGTATATTAAGATGTTTCCAGATATTTATTTCCTCTAAGGAAAAAACAGAGGGGCAAAAGAGCTAATGTTTCACTAGCTTGTTCATTCCCTTTATTATCAACTCTGCTTTAAAAAAAAAAGGTAATTTCCATATACCATATTACAAAATAGAAGATTGAAGCTCAAGAGTTTAAGCAAAATTACAAATCTATCTAGGTACCATGTCAAAATTTGAATTCAACTGTCCATTTTCTAAACTGTAATCTTTTCAATGTGTCATATCTCCATATTAATGAAGGGGTCCAGATGGTGCAATGGTAGCCTGGCTACAAACTGAAGTCAGCAGTTCAAATACACCAGCATCTCTGCTGAAGATTCAGCAATTCTGCTATATGGCAGTTCTACATTATTTATAGGAACCCTAGTAGCACAGTGGATTAGGAATTGAAGCCAGCAGTTCAAAACCTCTCCGAAGCTGAAAGAAGAGACTTTCTGCTTTCATAAAGATTCACAGCCTCAGAAACCCACAGGCAGTTCTATCCTGCCATATTGGTCACGAGGACTCAGCATGAACTAGATGACAGTAAATTCTGTCTAGAGAATCACTGTGCATCAGAATCAACTCAGCAGCATGCACACCACCACTCCAAAACTCACTGCCACCGAGTCAGTGCGGATTCACAGCGACCCCTGTGGGTTTTCAAGACTGGAACTATTGACAGGAGTAGAAAGCCCAGTCTTTCTCCCATTCAGCCATTCAGTTTCGAGCCAACGCTATAGCAGCCAACTCATAACCACTACACCACCAGCACACATCACCACTACTACCGTATTAATGGGGAAGACCATGTCATCATTTGGGTCCTGAGATAAATGTCCTTTTACGCATTTTAATAAAAATCTGGCAGCATCAAGAGATGATAATCTTAAAGCAATGAACTGAAAACAGTACTGGAATGTTCAACAATGAATAAGGAAAAGCCACAAAATAATGAGACCTAAATGCATACACTGAAATGTTTTTAATATAAGGCCTCAAGTAACATATTACTTCAACAAAATTGTGAGACTTAGACATTAAAGATTAGTATGGATGTAGCTAGCGCTACTAAAAACATCTAAAAAGCAAGTGGGGCTGTTTTTGATCACATGAGTCGGTTCAGGGGGACAATCAGAAGAGTGAGGTACTCACATATTTCTCTCCCTCCCATGGAAAGAGAAATGTGGTGTGAAGGGAAGAAAACAGACACTAGGGTTAAGCATTTTTTGAAGAAATGCCACCAAAATTGGCCTTTTGCCATAAATAAAGGCTGACTGGTAAAACTAAACTCACCTCCATTGAGTTCATTCCCACTCATAGTAGCCCTACAGAGCAGGGAAGAACCACCCCGTGGGTTCAGACTCACAAAGCAGCTGGTGGTTCTGAACTGCTGACCTTGCGATTACAGCCCCAAAGGCTCCCCATAGTAATTATGAACTACTTCTGAGTATCACTCAACAAATGGCATAAAATTCAGATGTATTAGAAACTGCGAAAGCAAGTATAAAACGGTTTTCTCTCCACAAATTGTAAACGGGAGGCAAAGCTTGCGCCATCCTACCATAAACTTGTTAATCGATCTATAATTTTACACTCTTATATGTAACACTCCCCAGAACTTTTAAGAGTATAGATAGATTCTTGAATAAGCATCAAAATGCATAACACCTACTCCGCAGCAGTAAATACCTAAGAAGAAAAAATATATATACACACACATACACACACACAATATCTGCCGTTCTGGCAACCACGATCATTAACTACCGTACAGCTCGTGGCTTTCACAAGACATGCATACGTTCCCATAAAAACCAAAAGCAATTCGCGGGCCAGAGGTGGCTTCCAAGTGTACAGAAATCCTCCTTTCAGGGGAGCACTCGCGCAGAGATGGAATTTAAAAAGCCAGGCCCACAGGCAGCGGGCAGACTCCGACTCACCCCGTGTATTACTTCCCCTACAGTGCGGTAAAGACCACGTGTGGAGTGGAACATGAACCTGGGCGGCGCGGCACTGCAAAGGCAGGCGCTCCCACGCCTGCACCTCCCGCCCGCGCCCCTCCATTATCAGTCCTCCGTTCCCAACTTGCGGTCCCGGAGGTTATTTATTCCCCGGAGGTCAGGAGGATAACCGAGGAAGGCCCAAAGCAGGTGAGCGAGCTCTAACACCGAAGAAAGCGCAGCGCGGGCACCAGCTCCAGGAAGCGATTCCCGCCTCTGCCGTGCACGGTCCGGACGCCTCCGAATCAAAAAGCTGAGGCACAAAAGCGCGTTTTCACGGCTTTCGGACCACACTCGGGGTCCTGATTTGGCCCCAGTGCCAAGCGCGGGCCGCACTACTCACGCCCGCCCTCGGGCCCGCCAGTCTCGAGCCGAATGCAGGCTGAGACTAAAGGAAGATAGCAGGCCGCTCAACCTGCGCACCACGGTGCAGCGGCGTCCCGGCCTCGCACGGGGACCCGAACGCACTCCCCAACCCGCTCGCCTCCCCAGTGACCAGACGGGTCTGTGGGCCCGCACATGACAGCAAAAGACCCACTGACTTCAGAGATCTTCAAAGAAATTACCTTTGAACTGGCCTTCTGAGAACCGCCTGGCGTTTTGTCCGCCATCTTGAGCTTTGCCCCTCCTTCCGCGGCGGCGAGAGTCGAGCGCCGAAGGAGCCGATCTCCGCGGAGCCCGCCAGAGGCCCCGGCAAGGTTGAGCAGTCGACTGACGAGACAGTGAGTTCCGGCCGGGCGGGCCGCGCCACGTGACTGTTGGCGTCAGTGCTTCCCCAGCGCCGCCCGCTCTCCTCCTGATTCTGGAGGCTGCATTGACTGTTCGGGTCGTTGCGTTGGTAGAGTTAAGTAGAGAACGTCCTCGTTCTTTCAGGCCCGGCTGAGACCTCACGCTGCTTTCCCAGGACGGCCTCAGTTACGTTTCTCGGGAGGAGGGGCTGCTCTTTTTAAAGGAGAAACTGATCAATGGGGAGGAGCACTCGCTTCAACTCAAAGTGGATCTGCAATCAACTGCGAGTCTGGCGCTCAGTGAACAAAGACCCGGTTCGCGCCTCCTGGGAGCTTAGGGAAAGCCAAACCTGGAATCTTCACGTTACTTGGAAATTGCCAGTGCTGAGATGGAGTTGGACCTGGAAAACCCAGAAAAAGGGCATTTTACCCAATTTTGGAATGCAACCGTGCTCTTACCCCATACACAAACTGCAAGGCGTCTGTAAAATGGACACGGTACGAAATAACGAAAGAGTATTCTAAACCGAGCACACCTGTAAATTTTCTGCCGTTTGAAATTAGATTTTACTGTTCATTAATATTTTATTCGAAAAGGGGGAGAGCGCCATGCATTTGTAGGTACTTGAACCCTCCCACAGGAGCCCTGGTGGTTACTTGTTGGATCCCTAACAGCAAGGTACGTAGTTCAAAACCACCAGCTGCAACGTGGGAGAAAGCCAAGGCTTTTCTACACCCTTCAGGATGACGGTCTCAGAAACCCTAGGTGAAAGTCTACCTTGCCCTTTAAGGTCTCGGAGTCAGAATTGAATCCGTGACAGTTTGCTTAATCCCTCCCAATTCCAACCCTCAGAGACTATAGACACAGTAGAACATTTTTTAAGTTCTTAACTGCTGGAATTGCGGAAGCAAGGAAAACGCGAAGGGCATTCAAAGCAGGAAAAGCTTTTGAAATAAAAATCTTGTGACAATTCAAAGAAAATGAATCAGTACAGCCCATTTTGCAGGGCACCACAAGCAGTTGAGTTTTACTAGAGCAAAAAGGCCTGGCTTGTGTAAATAGTGTTTTTGTCAGTAGTCTCCAGTCACTCAAGAATTTAATCTGTACAAGTGGTTCGTAGCCAGCATACTCTCGTATCATCTTTTCTCAACTGTTTAGATTATTTACCATTGTCTGAATTAATGACACTATTAATAGAATGGCCTTATGCCCCAGGGAGATGATTGATAAAAATGTTAATGATATCTCTAAGGTGAGCCAGAGATATATATAAACCATAGATTTGGCGCTTTCACTTAATTCTAACCCCAATCTAAGAACAATTAGTTGTTATAACTTGGCTCCACTTGATAATTGTCTTCACCTCACTAAAGGTGTGGGTGGTACAGCAAAATGTGATGAAGAAACTACATGGTACCTGGCAATCAGAAAGAATAGTGTCTTCGGCCATCTAAGTGAAATGTCAACTAAGTCCACATGGGAGAAGCAGACCAGCCTGTGTGATCCAAGAACTATAAATAATATAATCCAAATCTGAAGCAGGGAATGGTTTCAGAGCTTAAATCCTGAACATCTGGCCAGCAGGTGATGGATGACAGTGGAATGCCAAGATCCGTTTGCAAAATCTGCACATAGAGTAAGCCTTCAGTGAATTCCCTCTGACCATAGTCCTGGCATGTGAATAGCTGTGTGATCAGCCAGGGAAATTGTAGAGACAATTATAGTAGATATATTTGAGTTAAAGTAACATCGGATTTGATCCCGCTTTTGACACAGTTCTTTGGACACATGTAAAAGTTTAATCAGTTAAAAGGGAAAAAATGAAAGGGAATCCCCTCTGAACATAGATAGACCAGGACTGTGAATAACCTTGCTATCATTCAGAGTGCATCGGAAAGTGGATTATCGCAGATGCATTAGGTAAAAATTTGGCATCTTATGTTTTGATCTCCCTTTTGACCCATTTCAAAGCTGTTCTGGATTTTAGTATTTTCTGTTTACTTTTCAACTAGAATCTGTCTCTATTTTGTTATTGTTGTTAGTTTTGTTTTTTAATCATTTAATAGGGGCCACTTACAGCTCTTATAACATTCCATATATCAATTGTACCAAGCATATTTGTGTATATGTTACCATCATCATTTTCTAAATATTTACTTTCTATTTGATCCCTTGATATCAGCTCCTCTTTTTTTTCCCTCCCCCCTCCTACCCTCATGATCCCTTGATAAATTATAAATTATTATTGTTTTCCTATCATACACCAACCACTGTCTTCCTTCACCCATGTTTCTGTTGTTCATCCCCCATAGGGGGATGGGAGATTATGTGTCCGTCATTGTGATTAATTGTTGTTAGCTTTTTTGATTCTTTATTTTTTGTTTTTCAGTGTATGAAATCCAGGGTGGGTAAATCTATATTGATGTAACTGGACTAATAGTTTCTTAGGGGTATGGCAAGGGAAGTTGGTGGGGAAATGAGCTGATAACAAGGAATACAAGAAAAACGGAAATGTTCCAAAATTGATTATGGTAATGATTACACAACCCTTCTTGATATGATTAAACTATTGAATTGTAGGATTTATTAATTATGTCCCAATAAAACTCTAGGTCTGGCTAGAGAGGTAGGTAGGAGCAAGTCCACACAATAGTCCTATATTGGGAATTAGAATTGTATAGTGAGAACAAAGTATGGCCCTCAATAAAGTTATATAGGACTGTGGTAAGGTCTAATTTTCATTTCCAAAGATTGCTCTGAGGACAGCATAAGACCGATTTAGTCAAGAAAACTGTCTTAAAATAGTGGGGGCGATGATTCAGGAACATATGAGGAAATGGGACCATTCCTCCTTCATTCAGTCAAAATCTTTTTGAGCCTCCTTTTGTAGAAAAAACTGTGCAGTGTTACGGGGCTTACTGAGACATAATAATGCACTTATTTAGATTTAAAGCTCAATAAAAACTCAGCTAGCATAATACTCAGTGGTAAATGAGTGGAAGCCTTCCCCCAAGACAGGCAACAAGACAGGGATAACCTGCCCTCGCCATTCCTGCTCAGTGTGCTAGACAGAGCAATTAGGCAAGAAAAAGAAATAGAAGGCATCCCAATTAGAAGAGATAAAGTTATATTCCCATAGGATACATTCAAAAATGATGACTCTAGGTGGCACTATATAGAAAAAGAGCTCTGGGGAATTGTTAACGGCTCCAAGGTAGAGAAATGAAGCTGTCGGCTCCCTGAAAGATGCACGGCCTCAGAAACCTTATATGGGTCACTTTAGCTCTGTGGCAGGCAGTTTTGTTTTTTTACATATTAAAAAAAATTATATAGAGAGGTCTGAGGGGCCGGCCTCAATCCCAACTACGTGGACAGCCCTGCTCCCTGCAGAAGAATTCACTTCAGAGGACAACACTGAAGCTACAGCTCAAGGAGAGGGACTTGTCTGATCAGAGCACACAGGAGCCAACAAGGGGGGAAGGAAAAAAAAAAAAGAGTGAAGCACATGCTGGACTGCCAAGCCCTGACGATAATGCTTCTGCTCAGAATAGTCTATGCACAGAGACGA